GGGGGCATGTGAGGGGTGGGGTCATATGAGGGGTTGGGGGGGGCCTGGAAGGGAACCCAGTGTGGCATTTCTATAATGTCAATACAATATTCATGTATGAAAGTCTCAAAAAATAGGAAAAGAAAGGATTACTAGGTAGGGAGTCAAGGATCAGGGCAATAGCTCTCTTTGTTATACTAATTCATCTTTGTTTTAAATATACTGAGAAAAAAAATTGTTCCTCTTGTTCAGTCAGAAAAAAGAGGGACTCTGCCCTGCCACATCCTCTCCTAGACCAGCAGCTAAAAAGCCCCCTGAACATATGCAGTTCCCTAAAACCTGCGTAACATGACCAGCATATGACCTTTCCCTGGTGTCCCTCCACTGCTAAGAGAAAATTGGGCCTACTAAGTACAACTCCAAACTTCAGCAATCGGCTGCTCATGACCTGGCTGCTGCGCCCTCAGGATCTAACTTGCATAAAAGAGGAGACAGAAAGCCCTCACCATCTTAGAGAACCCCCTCAATACCCCCAGATGCATAAACATCACTCCAACCATGCCCAGTGTGATCCTCACTCTTGAGTTACCAGATCTCCTATCCTGTGTGTGTAGTTTTTCTTCCTAAATAAACTTTTGCTTGGCATTTCATGCCCACATATGAAATTTTTGTCATTGAGAAAACCAGGAACGTAGACAGAAAGGGTTCTGACTGTCCCCTCAACCTCCTCTGCAATGCTAATAGCTCCCCATCTTTTGGGGAGCATGGTAGATGCCCCAAAAGAGTCTGTCCCAATCCCTGGAACCTATGAACATCTTGGCTCATGTACCAGAAGGAACCTTGATGAAAACCTTGACGTAGATTATTCTGGATTATCCAACTGGGACCAAATTTCCTTATAAGGGAAAGATGGAGGCAAAGGAGTCTGAGGTGAGAGATATTCAGAGGTGTTGTGTGGTTGGCTCTGGGGATGGAGATAAAGATCGTAAGTCAAGGGAAATTGGTGGCCCCTGAGAAGCTGGGAAAATCAAGGAGGCAGACTCTTCCCTGGAGGCTGTGGAAGGAATACGGCCTCCTGGAAACTTGCTTTGGGCCCAGTGGAACCGGTCTGATCTCCAGAACACTAAGCTAATAAATTCCTGTCATGTTGAGCCACTAGGTTTGTGGTTCTGTCACAGCAGCCGCAGGAAACAGCTATACCACACCATGAGTCACTGGGTACATCACTGTCTCCACTGGCCGCCTGGACCTCGTTCTCATCATCATCATCCCGTTCATTTCCTCAAGTTTACAATATAAAGGATTAGGCATTTGCATATATAGCTCAAGAGAATGGAACCTTCAGGCATTTGTCTACAGCTTTATATTTTCACTTCTTAACTGACCCCAGAGCTTGATCCTTTTTAAAATCGGTTCCTTTTTTTTTTTTTTTTTTTTTTTTTTTTTTTTTTGGTCATTTTGAGACAGGGTCTCCCTGTAGCCCCAGCTGTCCTGGAACTCACTATGTAGGCCAGGCTGGCCTTGAACTCCCAGAGATCTGCCTGCCTCTGCCTCCTGACTGCTGGGATTAAAGGCATATGCCACCATGCCCGGCCAGTATATGTCTTTTTGAGACTGGTTCTCCCTGGCCCCCCTGGCCTGAAACTCACCCTGTAGACCAGGCTATAGAGATCTGCCTGCCTCTACCTCCTGAGTACTGGGATTAAAGGCGTGCACCACCACACCCGGCCAAAATCAGTTCCTTTTATGTCTTGTTAACTTACAGCTTGTCACCCCCCACCCTTCATTTTTCCAGGGTGACCAGAAGAGGTGGCGAAACATTGATTGTCAACCTGATGGGATTAAAGTCACCATGGAAACAAACCTTTGGACATGTCTGTGAGGGATACATACATACACACACACACACACACATTTGAGACAGTGTCTTACCATGTAGCCCTGGCTTGGAAGGAACTCTGTATAGACTAGGGCAGTCTCAGATTCACAAAGATCGGCCTGCCTCTGCCTTCCCTGTGCTGGGATGACAGAGGTGTATCACCATAGCAGGCCTCGAGAGAACTATTTAAATGGGGTTAATTGAGGTGGGAAGACCCACCCTAAATGTGGGGTCCATTGGCTGGGGACAGAATGAAAAAGAGAAAGTGAACTGAGCAATGGCATCCACCTCTCTGTTTCTTAGGGACTCAGTGTGACTGGTTGCCTCGAGCTCCTGTCACCATGACTTGCCTGTCATGATGGACTGTATTCTCCAACTATGAGCAAATGCAAACTTTCCTTAAGTTGCTTTCATTAGGTATTTCATCACAGCAACAAGAAAAGTCACTAATATACCACAAAACTTAGTGCCGGTATTATTTCAGTTAAATCATTTTGGCATGCCATCTCTTTCTTGGGAGGAACCAGAAAAGTGATTGATTTGCCTCAAATCACAGAGCTCATAATGAATTCAGGATCCCAACCCAGACAGGGACAGAGGAGGATCTGTGCTCTTTAAAAAAATTATTATTCTTTAAATTTTTTTCTTATTTTATGCATATGAATGTATTGCCTGCATGTGTGTAAGTGCACCCATGTCATGCAATGCCTGTGGAGCTCAGAAGACGCTGTTGGATGTTCTGGAACTGGAGGTTTGGATTGTTGTTAGCCACCATGTGGGTGCTAGGAATGGAACCCAGGTCCTCTGCAAGAGCAGTCAGTGCTCTTAACCGTTACTGAGTCACCTTTCCAGTCCAAATACATTTTATTTATTATTTATTTTTTATGGGTATGCGTGTATTGCCTGCATGTATGTAAGTGCACCCATGTTGTGCAATGCCCACAGAGGTCAGAAGAGGGCATCAAATCCCCTGGAACTGAAGTTACTGACAGTTGTTCGCTGCCATGTGGGTGATGGGAATCAAACCCAGGTCCTCTGCAAGAGCAACCAGTGCTCTAATCGCTGAGCCGTCTCTCCAGCCCCCTTATCCTTAATTATATGTGTGTATGCATGTAAGTGCATGTATCTGCAGAGGCCAGAGGAGGGCATCAGATCCCCTGGAACTGGACTTACAGCTGGTTGTGAGCAATACGACATGGGTGCTGGGAACCAAACTTGGATCTTCTGCAAGAGCAGCAAGCATTCTTAGCTGCTGAGATGCCTCTCTCGCTCCAGGATCTGTGTTCTTAATGTGTAAATGCTACTAGAGATATGTTTCTGTGCAGGCATATTCAGGGGTGAGCAGGGTGTTGTCAGGATTTGGGAACAGACTGGGAGAGTTGTGTTTACTTGTTAGTCATTCTGTTTTTGCTTACAGGTTCTTGCAGGCCGGGAGATGTCCCCAGTGCGTTGTGTGGAAGCCACCATCTCTGACCCCCTCACCCCCAAGCCGTGCATCTTCCTGGTTTCCCCCACCATGACCAACCTCAGTTGCAGGCACGGCCTGTGTCCGTTCTGGAAGGCCTGTCAGGAATATCACGTGTTGCCATGTGCCCACACCCACTCAATCCTGCTTTTCGGAAGAACGCAAGGGAATTTAAGCTTCGGAGAGCATGCCCAGCACTTGGGAGGATCTGCATGTCACCAAGTGGCCTGTTCTGCCCCTCGCAATCTGCGTCCCCACAGAGCCCTCCTCCCATCTTACCTTTGGATCATTTGTTGCATCCTGCTAGTCTTTACAGAGGATAGAATCTGAGTGTTGGGGTAGCCCTTCCATCTTGCAGATGATGTCAGAGGTGAGGACAGGCTTGCGTGAGCGCTGTGTCCACTGATCTTGGAGCAAGTCCCATCTTAGAGCCTACCATCAATTTCCTCCATGGCTCAAAATAGCAAGAAAGGCTGCTGACTTCGAGGGGTTAGTGAACTTAAATTGCCGGTTACACAAGCTTCCTGGGTAACTGCAGAAGCAGCAAGATGGTTAGTTAAATAATCATTTATTGAAGACATTTATGTTTGGGGGAGGGGGAGGCAAAGATAGATTAGTAAGTACATTGGATCTTGATGCAAGTCTTGCTGAGCTTGCTGGGGTCTGTACAGGAAAGGCCTTCATGAGCATCCAGGAGGTAGACTGATTCCTGAGGACCACGCTGAGTTAAAACTCAGGACTCTCCCACTGAACTGGAATGCACCCAGCAACCCTTGTGTCCCCAGACCGTGTCCTGGTTTCTGCTGACTCTAGGCTCCTAGGCCTACCTTTTCCCCTCCTCTGACCTTCTTATGTGAAATAACATGATGCTGACTATAGTATTTTTGTTCTTGTTGTGTTGAGACAGTGTCTCCCTGTAGCCCTGGTTGGCCTGTAACTCTCTTATGTAGACCAGGCTGACCTCAGTCTCTACCTGCCTCTACCTCCCTGAGTACTGGAACTAAAGGCATGTGCCACCATGGTCTGGCTGGTGTTATTTATTTTTTTTAAGATTTATTCTTTGAAATATTTTATTATTTTTATATTATGTGTATGAGTGTATTGCCTGCATGTAGGTAAGTGCACTGGTGTCATGCAATGCCTGCAGAAATCAGAAGAGGGATTCGCACTCCCCTGGAACTGGAGTTACAGATGGTTGTTAGCTGCCATGTGGGTTCTGGGAACCAAACCCAGGTCCTCCACAAGAGCAGCCAGTGCTCTTAACTGCTGAGCCATCTTGACAGCCCCAAAAGATTTATTTTTAATTATGTGTACATATGTGTATCTCTGATTGTGTATGTGCACATGAGTACAGTTGCCTACAAAGGCCAGAAGAGGGCATTGGATCCCCTGGAGCTGGAGTTACAGGTGGTTGTGTGTTGCCTCATTGTGGGTTCTGGGTACCCAACTTAGGTTCTCTGAAAGAACAGCAGGTGTTCTTATCCATCGAATCATCTCTCCAGCCCCCGTGGTGATTTTGTAACTTTCTGCCTTATGTGTGTGTATGGGTGTGCAAGTTCTTGTGTGTGTATACATGTATGTTATGTGTGCATGTGGAAGTCAGAGAACAACCTTGGGTGTTATTGTCAGGTATTGTCACTGACCTCAAACTCAAAATTAGTCTACTCTGGCTGCCCAGCAAGCTCCAGGGTTTCACCTGTCTCCTCCTGCCCGGAGCTGGGATTACTAGCACGGGCCACCATGCCTGGCTGTTTCCTTTGTTTACATAGGTTCTGGGGATCGAACTCAGGTCCTGTGCTTGCATGGCAGTTTACTGACTCATGTGTCACCAGGCCTATTGGTAAGGAAGATGCTGTTACTGGTAATTAGCTTGGGTCAGTAAAGGAGACCCCAAAGGGAGGAAGTCAAAGAGTCTCTAAACTAGAAAAGCAAAACCCAAGCCAAATCAAAACAAAAAGAAATCCAGCAAAAATCTAGGTGGTGAGGGAAGGGAAGGGTGGGTAACCTAGAGAACAAAGGTGTCCGAAGTTCAACTGGATGCTCAGTTGGACTAATTTGGTGGAACCTATACTCAAAGTCACAAACAAAAGGACGATTGAGTTTTCAAATATTATAGTACAAGGGACTAAGCAATTGCATAGATCAAGGATCTTTGGGTGTAAATGATTTGTTTTATTTGTTTGTTCATTTATTTATTTATTTTGAGACAGGGTCTCCCTGTGACCCCAGCTGGCCTGGAACTCACTATGTAGACCAGGCTGGCCTCAATCTCAAAGAGATCCAACTGCCTCTGCCTCTTGAGTGCCGGGATTAAAGGCGTGTGCCACCACACCTGGCAATTTTATTTGCTGACTGGCCAATAAAGGTTTGAGCCTCTTATAAATTACCTCTTTTTATATCTTGCATAATTTTTTTTTGGTCTTTTTGAGACAGGGTCTCCCTGTAGCCCCAGCTGTCCTGTAACTCACTATGTAGACCAGGCTGGCCTTGAACTCACAGAGATCTGCCAGCCTCTGCCTGCTGAGCGCTGGGATTAAAGGCGTGCGCCACCACTCCCGGCATCTTGCATAATTTAACCCATGCCTTGTAATTCCTCTCCTTTCCCCTAGGGTGACCATATAACTTATCCACACAGAACCCTTGTGAGAAAAGAAGACATTATTCACACATATGCTGTACAGCATTGGGTTTTATCTGGGACGATTTCAGACTAACTGGAAAATGTATACTCTTATCTGTCTCCTTGCTGACCACTCTGGGTTGAGGTACAAAAAAACTCCAAAAAGGTATCAATAATAAGTCTCAAATTTTCCTGATGAGGGGGTAGTCATTGAGATAGTCAACGAAATGCCGATGCTTGGAGGCACTGAAGGCAGACAAGTTGGATGTGACAGCTCAAAAGCACTGTCCCACCCTGCTCCTCACAACGCCTATATCTTGCTTTCTGCAGAAAGTGATGTTGAGTTGGTGCCTGTGTCACTGGTCTGGGCCGAGTCCTCGCTCAGGGCTCTCTCCAGGCTGGCTGGTAGAGAATGGATCAATCGCTCTCTGAAGTCCTGGCCCATGAAGACATAGAGCATGGGATTGAGGCAGCTGTTGAAGAAGGCCAGGGAGCTTGTGACATTCACAGCGATTCTGATGCCCTGGCCCATACCCCTCAAGAGTTCCCGGATTCGGATTGTGGATATGAGAGCGACTACCTGGTAGGGGCACCAGCAGAGGAAAAAGGCGGCTACCACGAAAGACAGAACCCGGAGGGGACGGCTGGACTTGATCAGGCCTTGCCGGTGGATTTTGGTGGCTATCAGTCCGTAGCAGATGGCGACTATGGACATGGGGGTACTGAAACCGATGATGAACCTGATGATCCCTCTGACGGTCAACATGGCAATCGCCACCCTTTGCCTCTCTGCAGGGTCTGTGGTCCAGGGTGAGAAGTCAAAAGTGCAGGATGTTATCCCCGGCCCCGCTTTATTAGCCACTGTGGTCACACGGATGATAACCGGTAAGGTCAGGAGGAAAGCACAGACCCAGGGTCCCACGATCACCTTCCTGGCCAGGCTCACCGTGCGGTGGTTCTGAGCCCAGACGGGATGCAGAACACAGATGCAGCGGTCCAGGGCAATGAGAGCAATCAGGAAGACGCTTCCAAACAGGTTTATGTCCACCACGGTAAAGATGAACTTGCACATGAACCAACCGAACGGCCAGTGCCCTCCCATGGCCTTGGAGACGATGAAGAATGGCAATGTGGAGGTGAAGCTGAAGTCGGCCACCGCCAGGTTCAGGTAAGAGATGGTGGTGACCGTGCGTGTCATGCGGAAGCCGGCCACCCAGATCACCAGCCCATTACCCAGCACGCCGAGGATGAAGGTGACCACAAGGACCAAATATGAGAAGACATCCAGGACAATGTACCCAGCAGGTAAGGATCGGGTCCCTGCAGACCCGTTCATTAGGAGAGAGCTATTGGTCTCCATCCTGTTCGCTCCTGGAAAATTTGGAAATGGATATTTTAATTCAATTAATTAATTGGTTGATTTTTTGGTTTTGTTTTTATTTTACTGGTTTTTGGACTTTTGTGAATTTCATACTATATGTGTATGTATATTTTGATTGGATTTTGAAATGCAGTGCACCCCATATATACCCCCTGTCCAATTTCATGTACTCTATTATATATATAAAGGTCTATAGAGTCAAACTTGTGTCCCCAAATGCCCTTCAGTGTGGCTCCATCCACTGGAGCCTGGTCAACCTACCAAGAATCTCATCTTTAAAAGAGATGGACTCTTCGCCCTCCCAGCAGCCACCTGTTTCCAGTTAGTATTGGGGTTTCTTACGCACTTCCCCATGTCTATGCTGGGATTTTGTCTGGCACTTGTGCATGCTGTCACCATTGCTGTGAGTCCATTTGAGTAACTGCTCAGCTGTTTGGAACTCTGTTTCCCAGTGGTCATCCACCACCTCTGGCTTTTACAATCTTTCTGCCCCTTTCTTCCACAATGATCCCTGAGCCTTCAGAGGTAGTTGTTTATATATAGGCATATATGTGTGTGTGTGTGTGTGTGTGTGTGTGTTTATCTTTCTTTGTCTTTTTGAGACAGGGTCTCCCTGTAGCCCCAGCTGTCCTGGAACTCACTATGTAGACCAGGCTGGCCTTGAACTCACAGAAATCTGCCTGTCTCTGCCTCCTGAGTGCTGGGATTATAGGTGTGTGCCACCACTCCCAGTCTACTATCTTATTTTATTTCTCTGTTTCCATTTTTCATGTATGTCTGATGTGCATGTACATGAATCATTTTTGCATGTGTGTGGAGATGCATGCATTTGGGTTCACATACATGTGCAGGCTTGAGATGTCAGGAATCTTCTTTTGTTTCCTGTCTACCATGTTCATTGAGGCAGGGTCTCCCAGTCAAACCCAGAGCTCATCCATATGATTAGTCTATCCAGCTTACTCTGGGGACCCTGTCTCATAAAAGGCATGGATTAGGGGCTGGGAGCTGAGGGGGGGGGGCAGAATTATTGCTTAATGGATATGGAGTTCCTTTTCAGAGTGATGAAAAAGTCCTAGAACTAGACAGTGGTTGCAAAACGTTTTAAATGCACTTGATAATATGTCATTTTAAAGTCATAAATTTTAAACTGGGTATAGTGGTACATCCATGTAATCCCAGCATTTGGGAGACTAAGGCAGAAGGATCTCGACTTTGTGGGCAGCATGGGCTACATAGTGAGTGTAAGGCACAGGCTGGGTTACATGATAGGACCTTGTGTCGGAAAACAGGCGCAAGGGCCAGGGAGGTGGCTCAGTCAGAAAAGTGCTTGCCTCACAAGCAGGACTTAAGTTTGGATCCTCAGCAGCCACATAAAAGGTGGATAGGTGGCATGTGCCTATAATCCCAGTGATGGGGTGGGAGAGGCAGGAGGATTCCTATGCTCACTGGCTAGCCAGTCTAGCCCAGTTGGTGAGCTCCAGGTTAAGTGAGAGATCCTGACTCAGAATACAAAGTGGGGAGGGATCAAGGAAGACTCCTGATCTCAACCTCAACCTCACGTCTTTGTTTGTATACACACACACACACACACACACACACACAGACACAGACACACACACGTACACATACCACCTCCACCACCAATAGCAAAATCAATAACAAGCAAAAACAACAGGTACGGTTTATGTTATGTGAATTTTACCACAACTTAAAAAAAATGTTTTTGTGGACATCAGGAAAGAGACAGAAGGCAGCTTCAGTGATTCAAATAGTCATGAACTGAGACCTCCCACCCATGACTGTGTGTCAGCACTTCATCCTAGACCTGCCTCCTTACTTCCTAGGGTTCATCGAAGACCCCTTTCTTCTGCCATTGTAAAGGGGAACTTGTGAATGACAATGGGCAGGTGATGTGTCAGCTGCAGATTCTGTGCCACAGTGAGTCAGACACCAACCTCTGAAGTTGTTTTGTTAAAAAGATTTAATTAAAATCTAAATGAACTAAATTAAAAATGTAATTAAAACTATTTTAAATTACGTGTCTGTGTGTGGGTATGTGTACATGACTGCAGTACTCAAGGACGCCAGAGGTGATGAATGGAGTCCCCTGGAGCTGGAGTTGCAGGCTGTTAGTGAGACACCCAAAGTGGGTGCTGGGAGCTGAACTCAGGTCCTCTTCAAGAGCAGCAAGAGGGGCTGGAGAGATGGCTTGAGGTTAAGAGCACTGGCTGCTCTTGCAGAGGATCCAGGTGTGGTTCCCAGCACCCACATGGTGGCGAATAACCATCCATAGCTCCAATTCCAAGGGACCCGACACCCTCTACTGACCTCTGCAGTCATTGCATAGCATGGGAGCACTTACGTACATGCAAACAATATACTCGTACATATTAAAAATAAAAATGACAAATAAAATGTTTTTTAAAAGAGCAGCAAGGGTTCTTGACCACTGAGCCATCTCTCCAGCCCCTCCCTCTGGGAGGTCATCTGTGCTTACTCGATCTTTTCAAGACTCTGAGAGATAAGAAATGGAGCTGGGCACAAGATGCCTCGAGATTAGCTACGGAGAGCCTAGCTCACATCAAACATATCTCGTCTCTTCCAATCTTCACTGCAGGTTTCCTCAGAGGGGGAGAGTGTTGCAATGAAGTAACATAACAGCACTGGGCAGGAACCAGCGATTGACACACAGCACGTACTGAATAATGATGGAAGTTTTACGCGTGTGCACGAGTGCGCGTGTTTGTGTACATGCATGTATTCATACGGTTGTGTAAATATGTGTGCACAGACCCAGTGTCAACGCCAAATGTCATTCTTGATCACTCTCCACCGTATTTTTTGAGATAGGGTCTCTCTCAAAACCTAGACCGAGGCTGACTGGCCAATGAGCTGCAGAAATGCCTGTCTGCCATCCCCTAATGCTGAATTGCAGCACCTTATGTGGGTGCTGGGGCTCTGAACTCTGGACCTCAGGTTGGCACAGCAAGCAGTTTACTGACCGAGTCTTCTCTCAGCCCCTGGCTTTACTTTTTGATTATGACTTTCATGCTGATGAGGAAACTGACCCCGAACATTTAAATTAACTGCTTAAAGCCACTAACTGCTCTGTTTGTGAAATTCCAGCCGAGGTCTCTTTCCCATCCTGCTCTGCCAGACTAGTTCTTGTGGATGGGCTGTCTTACACAGCAGCTAGTCCCATGTGAGATGGGTGAGAATAACAATGCCCATCAGATTGCAAAGTCTTCATATGAAAGATGTAAAACTACAGTGTCTTGTTAACAATTTTCGCATTGACTACATGTTGAAATGATAATTTAGCTAAATAAGGTTAGATAATTGTTTAACAAGTGACATATATTAATTCTTCCTCCTCTTTTATTTCCTCTTCATCCTCCTCTTCCATCTCTTCCTATCTTCCTTCCCCTCTCCATCTTTTCCTCCTTGATCTCCTCCTCTACCTCCTCTCCTTTTCCCTCTCTTCCTCCTCTTCTTCTTCCTGCCTACCTCTTTCTCTTTGTGTAGCCCTGGCTGGCTTGGAACTTGCTATGTAGATCAGGCTAGCCTTGAACTAGTGGAGTCCTCCTACCTCTGCTTCCCAAGTGCTAGGATTACAGGTATGTGCTGCCATGCCCAGGCATCCATCCTTCCCACCCCACCCCACCCCTTTTATTTTTTTCTGAAACAGGGTCTCATGTATCCCAGGTTGGCTTTAAACTTGCTGAGGACAGCCTCAAACTTCTGGTTCTCCTTCCTCCAACTCCCAAGTGCTGGGATTCTAGGTGTGCACTACCATACACAGTTTCTGGAGTGCTGGGGATTGAACCTAGGGCTCTGTGCATACTTGTCAAGCAGTCTACCAACTATGCTACATCCCCAGCCCCATGGCCCTTCTTTTTTCCTTAAAGCATCTGCTGGACAATTTCAAATCATACACACAGCTCACATTACTATTAAGCCTCAATGTTCCCAGTCTCAGAAACAACCTGGAAGTGTCTCCTCTGTCCCACACTCCACCAACCTCAAAGATGGGCTGAGCTTGCTTGTTTTCAAGAGTCTCTGAGGAAACTACTGAGAAGGTTTACACAATGAGCAAGGATGATTCTGCAATCAGGACAACAAGCACAGAACAGCTGGAGACCCTGCCCCTCCTGTGGTTCTGGGAAGGAAGACCAGTTCATATGGAGCCCCTTTTAGCTGTCAATCACTGTGCCAAATTCTTGCCTCTTCTGACCCTAATAAGCTTGAACTTGACCAACACCTTCAACACTGTGTTGGTAGAAGGAACTGGGACTTGGAGAAGGTTTTAAAAGAGATTTGCAGTTCTGGAGGAGGCAGAGGTGAATTCTGGAACAGCTTCCAGGTGACATTGGGAACCAGGCTCCACGTAGACTCATCACTGTCCCATGTAACTTTTCCTACTGCTCTTGTTCTCCTACGACTTACAAGAATAACATCCATCCTGCATCCCTTTAAAGCTCTGAACCTCATCTCTCAACACAGCTGTCTCCCCTCTTCATGTCCAGTTACCCCCACTGTCCTAATGGTCCCGAACCCCCTTCTCTGTGACCAGAAGACAAGTATCCCAGCCCAAGGCCTACCCTCTGCTCACCCTCCAAACCCCATTCATACCCATCTTCTGAAGGCAGCCTCTCCCTTACTAACCCCCTTTCAATGTTTTCTCCTCCCTACTGGCCAGCACTTCCATTCTCTCCAGAACACCTCATCTTTAACAAAAGTTACTGTTCAATTTCATATCATCCTTGAGTTCCCAACCAACAGGTTGGTTCTCCTTTTCAGAGAAACATCTTGAAAGAGTGGTGTGCTTGCTCTGTTTACTTCATCTTATACCACTCTACACTTCCATTTGTTTTTAGACAGAGTCTCATGTCTATAAAGCTCAGGCTGACTTTGAACTCAGCAAGTGGCGCAGGATGGCCTTGAACTTGTCTCTACCTCCTGTGATCTGTGATCCTCTGTGATCTTTCCACCATGCTAGGTTTATCCAGTGATAGAGACCAAATCAAGGCTTCAATGCGTGCTAGGCAAACTACATTCCCAGCCCTCTGTACTTTATTTCAAAGAGTCTATTTGCCGCTAATCTGCAGAGTACAAATTCACTGAGTTACTCGGACCTCAAGGCACACGCTTCTTACCTGGGTGTTCCACCAGCTGTGGACCTTCCTCTGGACAGGACAGCGCTACGTCCCAATCTTCTGGGGAAAGTGGCCCTGACACTAATGATCTCAGCAGAAAATATACAAAGGGACGGGGAGGGTTAACGGAACAGAAACCAATTGGGTAACAGGAAACAGGAAACAAGGGCTTCTGTGATTTACAGTGACCCCTACACCAATATCACACCTTTTTAAACAGCATTTCTGGAGTGGGCTGGGTCCTTCCAGACACTCAGGTGCCTGAGTATCCTCTTGAGTCTTCTGTGGGATGCAGAGATTTGAACCCTCTTCATATCAGAGGTGAAGGAATCTGAGTGTCCAGGACCCTTCTCAGCACAAGGAAAGGGGGAAATGCTGGGGTAAGACTAGTGAAAGGCGGTTTCTGTGGCAAACAGTGAGAGACTGAGATAAAGTCCAGGAGCCAGAGAGGGAAGAAAACAAATGTGGAAATTTGAGATGATCAGAGAGGATCAAGCACTCTCCATCCAGCCACCATGGCCAAGATGAGTCAAATAATACTCCACACTGAGCAAACTTATCTCTACGGTCGTACTTAACAGATACAGAAAGTTCCTAAGGGAGGGAGGTGTTGTACCTGCGACTTTTCCTGGTACATGAATACACATCTGTAAGCCCCAGATACCGGGCGATCCAAAGTAACGCTGAAGTCTAACTTGGCGAACCAATGATCTTACCGGGGTTACTTACAGGGGCACAGGTAAGGGGTGACTTACAGGATTGGGGCTGATTCGATGGCAGGGGCGTGCAGGCAGCTCAACAGGTTGGAGATTTTCTCACAGGTTAGGTTGGTTGGTCAGAGAAGCTCCTCCTGGAAACTTTGCCTCCTCCCTCCTCTCCAGCCACTGTGTACGGCTTGCAAAGTGTTATGGAGCAGCCCATTGAGTATCTTGTAAGCTTCCCCAGACAGGTAGCTCCTGAGCCTCATTTTTACTTTAAACTTCCTGAGCTTTAAAGAGCCTCCTTCCAAGATGGAATGTTTCAACCCGGAAGGTATTGCCACACAACAGATGGGCCAGGCAAATGTCTACAAAACACAGGACTTCTTATTAGGAGAGTGAAGTGGTAAAACACATCATTTTGCATAAAGAAGGACCTAGAGGCCCAGAGGAAACACGAGATGCCGTAGAGGGTAGCGACTGAACAGATTATGAAGTCATTTGAAGTCTGACTTTTCCTTCTGAATATGGGCTGATGGGAAGTCCCGCCTGTTCCCCATAGCCCACCCCACCCCTTACTGAAGCCCAGGCAAGCTTGGTTCCTGGCTGCCAAAGGACCCATGATCAGCACCCCAGCACCTGGGAAATTGCACTGAGGGCATATGGAGGGCAAAATTCATACATGAAGAAAAGAAAGAAAGTCTTGAGTAGACTTCTGCTCTGTGTGGCTCCATTGCACAATCTAGGAAAACCCAAAGGAAGTGACATCCAGCTGTGCTGGTTGCGGGGGATCCGTGTCTGAGACACTCAAGTTGCCAGTCTTGTTAGGTACATGAACCACCCGTACTGGGCTCTGTGAGCAGGGAAGGCTGTCACTGAGGGCCTGGGCTGGGTTGGTCACTAGTTGGGTGACTGGATAAGCCATTTAACCAGGACTGATCATTTTCTGTCAAGGGCAAGATAGTAAATATTTCACAGCAAGCAGGCTGTAGGGTCTCCAGCTCAGCTTTACAGCCTGCAAATGAGGGTGCAGCTAGGCGCAAACAAAACTTCATTTAAGAATATAGTAAATTGGGCGTGGTAGCACATGTGCCTTCAATCCCAGCACTTGGGAGGGAGAGGCAGGGGGAATCTCTGTGAGATGGAGGCCAGCCGGGTCTACATGCGTTATAGAGACACCCTATCTTAACCCCTCCCAAACATATATGATATATTATATATATAACATATATATATAAATATATACATTTAGTAAGTGAGGCTGGAGAGATGGCTCAGTGGTTAAGAGTACTTGCTGTTCTTATGGTTCAGCTCCCAGCACCCACATGATGTGTTTCACTAACTGTAACTGGTTTTAGGGGATCTGGCCTCCAAGTGACCTGCACACACACACATAATTTAAATAATAATAAATCTCGCTGGGTGTGCTAACACACACCTTTATCCCAGCACTTGGGAGGCAGAGGTAAGAGAACTCTGTGACATCAAAGCCAGCCTGGTCTACATAGTGAGCTCCAGGCAGGCTGGGGCTAGGGAAACTGTCAAACAAAACAAAACAAAACAAAACACTACCAAAAAATAATCTTAATAAAAACAACATAGCAATTGGGTTTATGTAATTTTACATATCACTATTTTTTCTTAGATTTTCTTCAGCCAGTAAAAAATGTAAAAATCATTCCTGGTTCAGGGTGTGCTGGATTTGACCCCTACTTTAAGAGTCTCAATCATAGCTGGGTGTGGTGGAGCACACCTTTAATCCCAGCATTTGGGAGGCAGAGGCAGGCGGATCTTTGTGAGTTCGAGACCAGCCTGATCTATATAGTGAGTTCCAGGACAGCTGGGGCTACAGGGAGACCCTGTCTCAAAAAGACACACACACAAAAAGACTCTCAATTGCTTTACCTGGAATTGAGAGTCATAATAGTTACAGAAATCTTTTCTTGAAGGCCAGCCTGGTCTACATAGTGAGTTTCAAGCCAGCTGGGGCTACAGGGAGACCCTGTCTCAATAAAAGACCAAAATCTGTGTAGCAGCTGGGATCTCAGCAGACCTCCAGAGAGTGCCAGATTCTGGCCTCCCTCTGGCATAGGGGCTGAGAATGCAGGGGACTGCCTGAGAGCACCCAGATCCTGCCTCCATGTGGTGGTCAGTTTCCCCTAATTTGGCCATACCCATCCCCCTACCTGGGATTTTATGAGGCCCCTCCCAAGGTCCCAGGGCAGATCTGGCTTTGGTAGGCTAAGTCAGAGATCTTAGCAGACAGCCTGAGACGGTGGGTTTCTAGGCTGGGATCTCAGCAGACCACCAGAAAGTTCTGGCCTCCCTCTGGCATAGGGGCTGAGAATTCAGGGGACTGCCTGAGAGCACCTGGATCCTGCCTCCATGTGGTGGGGTCCAAACCTTAGAAGGAAGCCTGAGTATACCTGACTTGGGCTTCTGTGGGTGCTCCTGAATAGCTGATCTGAAGCCATCAGTTCCCTCTAAAACAAAACCCGAGAGAATCTGAAACCTGTACCATCCAGCTTTACATAACCAATAAAGGACATAGGCACATCAATAATACAAACAGAAGCAATACTGTGACCTGGAGGATGGTCCTCTGACCCTGTGATGACAAGTCATGGACCCGTCTCCTTCCCACTCCCTTTCCCTCTTCCAGCCAATCGATTGACCATAGCCACTTGTAGGGGAGGGCTAAGGATGTAAAAGCTGGGAAAACCATGAGGCTGGTCGCTTGCCTTTCTGTATGGCTGTCCAGAACCACAGGATTTATGTCTGGGTGTGGACTTTCAAACACAGCCACAAATTGGGGGTGGGGGAGGGCACCCGCTTGTCTGTAAGTAAACCCGCACCCCAAGCTCAGTTAGCAAGTCCAATAAACTCATTAAGATTCTTCAAACTGGGGTTTGGAGAATTTTTTTCTCAGGCTGTCACAAGGACCATGGGAGGAAGGGATTGGATGCCATGTGCTCCTTTGACTTACACATACTTCAACTCAATTCTCATGTCAGAATCACAAACAACAAAAGAAATTCACATGCCAAAACCACAATGAAAAAATAATAAAATGGAAAGCCAAAACACTATGTCCCCACCAAACTTCACCAGTCCTGTAGAAGAGTTCTCAAGGAGAACCCCCTAGAGATAACCCAGGACACTGAATTTAAAAGAACAATCAGAAACATGATCAAGGATTCAATGAATTTAAAGAGCACATGAAACAAATCAAAGAGCTAAAAGAAGATAGAGATGAACTTCTAAATGAATTCACAAAAGAGATAGAAACATTGAAGAAAACTCAGGCAGAAATGAAGAAGGAAGTGTAAAAATCAATAAGCCAACTTGAAACAACAGGGGACAGTCTTATCACTAGAATGAATGAAATGGAAAACAGAATATAAACACTGGAGGATAAAGTTGAAGAACTGGACTACTCAAGCAAAGATTATGGAAAATTTTAACAAACACATGAATGGAATAGGCAAGAGATGTGGGACACCATGAAAAGACCAAAGCTCAAGCAGAGATCATGGAAAAAATTTTAAAAACATAGGAATGTAGTATGCAAGAGATGTGGGACACCATGAAAAGACCAAATCTATGGATCATAGGACTAGAGGAAGGAGAAGAATTTCAGGTTAATGGTATTGACCAGATCTTAATCAACAGAATCATGGAAGAAAATTTCCCAAAATTAAAGAAAGACATGGCCATACAAATACAAGAAGCATATAGAACACCAAACAGAGAGGACCAGAAAAGAAACTCTCCACGGCACATCACAGTAAAAACACTAAACGTTCAGAACAAAGAGACAATATTGAAAGCTGCAAAAGAAAAACAAGTCACATATAAAGGAAAACCTATCAGGATTACAGCTGACTTTTCAGTGCAAACTATGAAAGCCAGAAGAGCCTGGACCAAGGTATTTCCAGTTCTACATGGCAATAGATGCTAGCCCAGAATACTTTACCCAGCAAAAATCTCTATTGTAGTTGAGGGGGAAAGAAAAATCTTCCATGACACGAATAGCCTGAAAGAATACATGTCCACAAAACCAGCCCTTCAAAGAATACTTGAAGCAATACAGAGAGCAGAGAGAGAAACAACTATACCCCAGGGGCAATGAAAGGAAATAAATAAATGTGTAATTGAGGAAACAGAAAATTAGACAAATAACATAAACAGCAATGAAAATGATGGCAATTAACACTCATCTTTCGATAATAACCTTAAATAACAATGGACTGAGCTCCCCGGTAAAAAGACACAGGCTAAGTAAATGGATTAAGAAACAAAATCCATCTCTTTGCTGTCTGCAAGAAACCCATCTCACCTTCAAGGACAGGCACTACCTTAAGGTCAAAGGATGGAAAAGAATATTCCAAGCAAATGGCACTAAGAAACAAGCAGGGGTTGCAATTCTAATATCTGACAAAATAGACTTCAAAGTAAAACTAATCAGAAGACATAAGGAGGGTCACTTCATTCTGATCAAAGGAACAATTAACCAAGAAGATATTACAATCCTTAACATATATGCACCAAATTCTGGTGCACCCAATTCATAAAAACAATAGTATAGGACTTTAAGACACAGATAACCCCAACTCAGTAATGTTAGGGGACTTCAATACCCTACTGTCTCCATTAGACAGGTCAACTGGACAAAGAATAAACAGAGAGACTCTGAACTAAATGATACCATACATAAAATGGACCTAACAGACATCTTTTGAATATTCCACCCAAGCACCAAAGAATATGCTTTCTACTCAGCACCCCATGGAACTTTTTCAAAAACTGACCACATACTGGGTCACAAAATAAACCTCAACAAATACAAAAATTGAAATAATTCCATGCATTCTATCAGACCACAATGCAATAAAGCTCAAAATCAACATTAGACAAAGCCCTAGTCACTACACAAATGAACTCATGGCAATTAAACAACACACTCCTAAACAATGAGTGGGTCAGAGGAGAAATTAAGAAAGAAATAAAAGTTCCTGGAATTCAATGAAAAGGACAATACAACAACAACACAACCTCAGGGACACATTAAAAGTAGTCCTAAGAGGGAAGTTTATAGCTCTAAGTGCCTACATTAAAAAATTAGAAAGAGCCCAAATAAATGACCTAACACTACAACTCAAGGCACTGGAAAGGCAAGAACAAATGAAACCCAAACA